GGAGACCATGGTAACATTATTTTGCTACACGTATGGAAGTAAAATAAATGATGTGTTCTATACTACTTTTAGGTAGTATATAATGTTTGTTGCAGTTAGCATTTGTTTGGTAGGCTGGAGGAGGCCGAAATAAGAATGAATTACCCATCTTGTTTAATTTATTCCGTTTGTTTGGTAAGCTCAACAATAAAGTGGATAAAAAGTTCCATTCAGTTATATTTAAATAAATTATATGTGAGAGGGTTCTTAGTCCAATATTGTTTTCGCTATATTGTTCTTACTTCGACGTAGTTCTTAGTTCAGTTTCTCCAGACAATATTGTTTCAACGGTTCACAGCCATTCGCCGTTGTTGTTCACTGGCTATTGTCGACCACCGTTCTTTGTCATGGTTGCTGTTGTTTGTGGCTTCTTCTTGTTGTCCACCACTGGTTGCTATTATCAATTGTTGTTGTGCTGCCATGCCATTCGCCAGTGATGGTTGCTGCCTGATGCTCGCCCTCTGCTCTTTGTCACTAACTGCCAATTGCAACTGTAGCCCTGTCGTTGACCACCACCACTTACCATTTACCGTCATTAGTCACCTCCATCTAGTATCGGTAATACATTATTGTTACTCCGAATGAAAGGATTATTTTGGTATAATAAATTTATTAAATAAGATATAATAATTTAAAATATTTTATGATTAAAATATTTTATTCTTATATTGCCTTGTCTGACTTTTTACGCCTACTAAAAGAGGTCTTATAGTAATGCATTCTTTTAAGGAAGCTTGCCTGATGATGTCCAAACAGATCTAATATGCATGAACCTGTTGCTAAAGTTTACTTATTTCGAATACGTAGAGTTTGTTTTAATTCAATATTTTAAAATGGAAGCATCAATTTTACCATTTTCAGCATACATTTTATTAGGATGATCCAATGTTTTGGGCAAATTATAATTAATAATTTCAGTAAGTTTAAACGTGATTTCGAATTGATAACAATTCATGATGCAATAATTGCTCCAAATTTAAAAATTGAATCCAGTATATTCAGAATACATAGAGGATTCTCTTGTTATATTTCTTTCCACCCAGAAAGGGCAGAGTAAATACATCACGGTACTAGTTCTAAGCAGCTGTAGGCTGATCTAAGTAAGTCGATCTGATAACCTAATTTCGCTAAACGAATCATTATTTTTCCTTTTCTTTTTTTAAACAAATCATTATTCTCACTGTACAGTCAATTTCTCACAATCTGAGAGGCTCAAGCACCAGAGGCAGCCCGTGACTAGGCCTCAGAGAGAGCAAGTAAGATGGACGATGGCGGTACTCTGGGGAGATAGAGAATGAGAATCTGCTCAGAATCAGAGTAAGCACGATCTTGTACTCCATCGTGGATAAATTTCTGCCAACGCACATCCTTCCTCCGAACCCGAACGGCAGGAAACCCATCTTGTGCTTGCACCCTCCGTAAAGGTCGTCAGAGAACCTCTCGGCCGGAATTCGTTGACGTCGTCTCCCCAGAGAGAGGGGTCGTGGTGCATGGCCACTACATCGATCCACACATTGGTACCTTTCGGAAACGTCGCCTCGCCCACCGGATGTCTTCTCTTGCTTGCCTCTGCACGTTCGGTGCCGGCGAGTATAGCCGGAGAACCTCGTTCATCACCCACCCCATCTGCATTTCAATTGCACACTTTAAAAAAAACAACCAACGACAACGACAACAATAATGACAATATGGGACGTTTGACTCATGTGTACGAAGGTTGACCGGTTAGACCCTTCTGGTTTTGGCCGTCCATCCCCGCCGATGTAGGAACGTAAGAGCGTACATTTCTGTCGAAACAATATTTAGGACGGTGGTCTGGTCTGTGCAATCAAAATAACGTGATTTTTGTTTTTAAAATGTTTAAAACGAAAAGGGTAAAATGTTTAATGTATTTTCCTCTAGATTTTACACTTGATTTTAAGCTTAAAATTTTTAAGCAAAACTTGACTTAAGATTTGTGGCTTTAGTGCTTGAAAGTATAAAAAAAAAAAATTGAAATCTTTCAATTCAACTTCTTTTTTTTTTTTTTTTAACTTGAAAAATGACTAAGACTACATATATTGAATTCCAAAATTACCCTTCTAATATTAAAGGCTCTTTAAAAGTAAACAATTTTAAAAAAAAAAAAAATCCCAAATTTAAAAGTGAAAATTACCCTCGACTGTTTCCAGATGTAAAAGAAATAAGTTCTTTGCTCTTAGGAGTTGTGATTTCTTTTTAAATTCAAAATTATCAGCAGAAGCCAGGTGCGACCTTTTTCCAAACAAAGGGAATTGGGGCACTCTGTTTGTTTGAAAATTGGTCAAGGACCACTTGGGGAGCAAAATGACAAAACTGCCCAAGGTCAAACTACCTCATGTCATGTTAAACGTCTCATTCACAACTTGTATTCGATGCTGGTAGGTGGTTTTAATAATCATTAAATTATTATTAATTATTAATTTATTATTAATATATATATATTTTTATAGTAAATTAGAATTTAATATTAAATGCATAAAAGCGATTTGATTGTCTTTTTTTAAATATATTTCTTTTCATATATACTCAAAGTGTGAAGAAAAATATTTTACTACTTATTACAACCATTATTTATCTAATTACTTATTTTATGATTAATTATAATTTTTGTAGATAAATTATGTAATTAATTTAATTACCTTTTTTTAATCCCGTGAGCTTGGTAGGGGTTAACCTCTCCTTCTCCGACCACGCCCTTAATCTCCTCTCTCAGCTTCTCCTGCCAGTCCTTGTGCACCGCCAAAAGCAGCATCGTCCATGTCAGCGCCAATGCCGTCGTTTCATGGCCTGCGAAAAAGAACGTCTTGCACTCGTCGACAAGTTCCCGCGTCGTCAGCGCTCTTCCACGCCTACGCCCACCGTCCCCATAGTTCTCCGCCAGCAAAAGACCCAGCAGATCCCCCTGATGATCTCCACCTTTCGATCTTCTCCGAGCCTCGATGATCGAGAGCATTGCTTCGTCGATCTCCTTGCCGAGCCTCCGGGCCTCAAGGGTCTGGTTGCGGCCACGATTTTGCTGAAGGGCACGCCCACAAGGCGGTTGGAGTTGAAGAGGGTGAGCTGGGGGATCGCAATTTGTCCAACACCTTGCGGCCGCTGTCGTAGCCGATACCGAAGCTCGTCTTCGCGATGATCTCGCCGGCAGTGTGGATGATCTCTGCTCCACGTTGATATTGGGGTTGCCCGCGATGGTGGAGGCGGTCCACCGTCCGAGCATGTCCATCGCGGACTTCACCATGAGGCTTGCCATGGCTGTTGGTGGAGACAGAAGACGCTACTGTTAGTTTTGTAGGTGATTATGACGGAAACTGCAGACTGGAGAGGCCTTTTTGTGTTTATTTCTTTTATAGTTTGAAATTTCAAGCATTTAATTGCACCGAGATTTTATTTTTTCATAAATACAAAGATAGATTAAAATTTTCTATTTCCCGTTTATTTTATTTTTGAATAAAAAATATAAGAAATGAAATTCGAACTCCTAATTATCAAGACATATTTTTTTGGTACAAAAGATAAAAATAAGCCAAAAAAAAACTAACAAAGAAAATTATCAAGGTGTCACTAGATTAATAAACTATTTATTAGTTTATTTTTGTTTCTAGTGCTAATTAAAAGTCTTAATATAGGAGAAATAGACGTGGACACACTGCCTTGGCTCACAAATTTACATTTATTAAAAAATAGAGAAGTTAATTAAAAAAATAAAAGAAAATAATAAAGTTTAATTGATTGATACTGTTATAATATTAATTTAATTTAATTCGTGGCACTGAGAAAGGAAAATCTTTCCTTATAATTCTTTAAAGGAAGTGCAAAACTTGGGTCCAATGTTATCATGCTAAAATGGAACAAGAGAATTGTTTGAAATAGTATAATTTTAAAAAAATTATATTTCTAATTATTTTTTTAAAAAATGATAGTATTATTCATATAACCCAGAAAAGCTAATAAAAAAAAAACATGCCCTTTTCAATTTTAATTTTGTTATTTATTACATTAATCAGTTTATCACAACAGAATAATTATTCTTATAAAATTTCATTATTTTATAATATAAATTTAACTTTTCTTAAATGAATTTGAATGTATGAGTTATGATAATCACTGTAACTTGCTCAAATGGCAGTGATTTCATTTGGTTATATATATATATATATATATATATATAAGATGGATATCCTAAATCAATGAAGAGGAAAGAAACATGAAAATTTTAATCTAATTTTTATGTTCATATACAAATTTCCATTTATAATTGTATTAGAAAACATATTTTTACTCATTTCTTTCATATTTGTAAATAATGCAAATGACCAAGAAATCTTGGAGTCCGCAACCTAAGTGGACGGTTATGGAGCCCAAAAAAAAAAAAAAAAGGCTGAATAGACGGTTAGGATTTCAATAGTCTAACTAGCCGAAGCGCGTACGGAGTTGGACTTTGGGCGGAATAACACGGTGGACGAAAATGTCTGTAAATTACGTAATAATTACATGGTGCCCTCTGGTATGTACGTGTTGTATATATATATATATATAGAGAGAGAGAGAGAGAGAGAGAACCTTGAGGTTGGCTGGAGAAAAAGCGGGAGTGATGACATGTCTGTGACGTACCCACTCGTCGCCTTCAGTCATAACCAACCCGTTGCCGAACATGGGCAGCCTGTCGTACTTGAACACATTCGGCTTCCCCCAAGTCTTTCCCAACACTCCGGCGGACATCTGCTTCAGAAACTCTGGATCCGCAATGTAAAGAAATGGCTCCGTCCCCAGCCAGTACACGAACACCTTCCCTGCGCACGTGCGTCACCACATAATTATTGTTAATTATCCATGCATGCAACTCATCCTCTCATTAATACGTACTGCAATCTCAAGAAAAGGCATGCATGTCTTGTGTGTGTGTGTGAGAAAATACATTAGACTGGCAAATGGTGATACGATAGTCTTTAGAAAAAAAGACTGAGCTGTCTTCAAGATTGAGCTATCTTGAAAAACCATTATGCAAGAAGCAACTCACGGAAAAACTAGGAAAAAGTTTGAATTTTTGCTAACCAAACAGGCCGTTGGTGGTCAGAAAAAAGAGACTCACCATGGGATTTTTGCCAACTAGCATAGAAGGGAAAGACAGTTGAATGCAAATCGTGGGTGATTTTGTTTTCTGAAGCAGACCCAGTAGTGTTTTTCTTTCTTTTCATGTCCCTTGTGTTTCCCAGAGGAAAACTTGGAGTCGGGCCGCCAAAGCCACTCTTCCTCAGCTTCCGATACGCCTTATTAGGCCACAACCAGCAACAATTCACCACTTTCCACAGCATTAAGGAAACCATCAGAAAGCTGATAGCTTCACAGCACACAAGCAAACCCATCTCCATCTCTCTCTCTCTCTTCTCTTTCTATTTCTATCTCTTGCTAACACTCTTTCTCTCTCTAATCTTATGTGGTTTGCTGATGGATTATAGGGGAGAGGGAGAGGGAGAGGGAGGGGGTATTTATAGAGGCTCGATGTCTGACCGTAACTTTTTTGTTGAAAGTCTATTTTGATTTGATCAAGGTGTTTTCTGTTTTTTCTATTTAAAAATATGTGAATATTATATGCTTCTACATATTTGTATATTAATATTTATAAATCCACGGTGCTTTTTGATTTGTCCACCTGCGTTTCCACTTTGGAGCTAAATTGTGACTTGCGAAGGCAAGCGCTGCTGACCAATCAGGTGTCTCCACGTCAGACACGAGAAAGGTGCTCCTGGCCTAACTCGTTGTGGTCTGCGCTGGTCAATAGTCCAACAATTTATGGGGTCGGTTCTGCCGGGTTTTACTGTTGAGTTTTTACACTGTGATTCAAGAATTTCTCGTCCTATTTCTCTCTCTCTCTCTCTCTCTCTCTCTCCCTTTTAATTTAATAATTTCCGACCAAACATATTTGATATTTTTACGACATTAAGTAGAAGTCCTTAGCCGTTGGTCAGCCGGGAAATATCAAAGTCAGAAGTCAAAGATCAAATCGTTGTTTCTTCTCGAACTTCCTCTTTTCTTGGGTATGGGAGTGTAAAATCAAAATTTTGTTTTTGGTAGAAGTTATGTGCAAATGTGAAAAAGCAATTCTACAAAGTATGATAAGATGGAATGTGATTCATGATCCTCATATTGTGAATAAAGAGTTTCATTATATGAACATATTCTTTCTTATATTTTTATAATTTGATAATTTAGTTTAAAATTGGTTATTTAAAATCATAATTTTGTGCATTATGTTGAAAATTTCATGTTAACAACACTAAAGAAGTAGATTATATTATAAATAGAAGTACTGTACACTCAATAATAGATTCATCTTTTAAGAAGAACGTAATGATTATGTGATAAATAGTATTAATTTTGAGTGACAAATTTAATAATGGTGTGATTCATGTCAATATTCTCTGAAGAAGATGAACACTATAAAGAGGATAATAACTTCACGACAAGTACGTAAAGAAAAATATTCCTTATGTAAGAAAATACATAACTAAATGCATAAAAATTTTCATATTTTTTCCTCCAGTGGTTGAGACTCCAATTAAAAAGCAGCCATGTAAAATATAAACTCAAATAGAATAAAAAGATTTCATTAGGAGCATTAATACAGAAAGTGCTGTATGTAGAATGCCACTAATTCATATTACTGGTTTGTAATGATAGATTAGGGGAAAGATTTCAGCCAACCGAAAATATTTATTTTATTTTTCCATTTTAAGTGGAAAAATTAAAAGACATAACCTAAAAGCTTTGAATCCTAATTAGAATTTACCGTTTGTTATTCTCTATTCATCACAAATTTATTAAGTTCTTTCCACAATTTCAATAAAGATTTCAAATTAAAACATATTTAGCATAAAAGCCCAAAAGATTAAAATCAACCGTATATTTTCCTTGCACATGCAACACTTCCCTTTTATATTAACCTGACCAAATTAATTAATTAAGACACTTTCTTCTTTAAATTTTAAATTAATCTATTATTTTAATTTTTAGTTTTTGTAATATATTCAAAAATGAACATTTACCCTTTGAGAAAGACAATAATTTGAAAGTTTTTCCATGAAAGAAAGAAATGGCACCTTGGATATGAAAGACTTATTTAATGACAAGTTTTGAATCACTAGATTAAAAATTTTAATATCCATTATTCTTAGAATGTATATATATCTATCTATATCCATACATCTATATATACATATTGTACGTGTGTGTAAATATGTAACACTCAAAACCATCTTTCAAAAAAAAAAAAAAAAAAAGAAAAGAAAAAAAATTCTTAAAAACCACTTTGGGTTGAGTTTTAAATTTATTTAGAGGGAATTTTGAGGAATTTGGGATGGAAGAAAGTGTTTTGGAAGAAATGAAGTTTTTGTATTAAGAAAAAAAAAATTTGCTCATGGTTATTGTAGCAGCGCACCGTAGAGCGCCCGGCGCACTACAGCGCGGTGCTCTCTGGAATTTCCGCACTACAGCGCACCCAGGCGCGCTATAGCGCGGAAGACACGGGCCAGACACGTTTTTTTAGCTTTTTCTTCAAATTTTGGGATTTTTAACCCCTTCAAAAACCCCTAAACTCTCTTAAACTCCTAAAAAAACTACAAAACAAAGATTTAGGAAATATCTTAGGGTATCCACAATTCATCCAAAAATTCATTAGAATTAAAATTGAGGATAATTTATGGAAGGGCATTTTGGTCTTTTGGCTTACAAGTGATTGTTTTAAAGTGTGGGAGAGTCCTTTAGGGCTCATTTTCGTCCAAATAGAGAGAGGAGTAGAGGGAAGGAGAGAAGAGGAGAAAAGGAGGAAAAATGTATGTATTTTGGCCCAATCTCAAACCCCCTCTGGTTTTTTTCAATATTTCTACATGTTTAGCTTTCTCTATTAGTTTTATAGCTTTTAATCGGTGTAGATTTTGTATTTGGATGTTATTATGTGTTGTAGAGAGAGAAAGTGGGTTTATCCTTACCCATGAGATATTTTGCTTGAATCTTGATATTTCTTGTTAGAATACCCTTAAATATTATTTTTTTTGAGGATATTTATATTTTTATAGTTGGATTAAACTTGAATGAGGTGATTATAGTTGAAATGTGAGATAAATGGGTGAGATGATGTTGAAATGGAATAAAGGCATGTTTGGTTGGAGTTGAAATGGGGAAAAATGGATAAAAGCATGTTTGAATGGAACCCAAAGATTAGATAGAGATTAAAGGCATGTTTGGATGGAACCCAAAGATTAGATAGAGATTAAAGGCATGTTTGGATGGAACCCAAATGTTAGATAGAGATTAAAAACATGTTTGGATGGAACCCAAATGTTAGAGAGAGATTAAAGACATGTTTGGATGAAACTCAAATGTTAGAAAAAGAGAAAAAGTTGTATTTATACGTTATAAGGTATAGTTATTACTTTCGTATGATGTATTTAGGATATGTCTCTTATGTTGTGTATCCCCTTGCAGTAAAGGATATCCTAATTACTTCAGAACCTGGACCTATAGCTCTAGGAGTATCTTTATAAGCTTATTTTTGTAACGTGAGTGGAAATCTTCCTAATCTTAGTTTATTTCTGCAAATTATGATTTACAATAAACAATGTTCATTTCAAACTCAAATATAAGTTGCTACTGAGAACATGGGAAACAGTCCAGCTATGTTATGATTTTGAGTATATACTTAATTGCATGGTTTTCATGAGTTTATGTTATTTTGGTGCCTTAGTACTCAGACCATAATGTCGGACAGCCATCTGGGGCAGGTGATGGTTCTACTTGTATGACATAATATATGTATGTTTATTTCTCCTTAGTGAAAATGGACCATGCACCAAAGACTGTGTTAGTTTGGCTGGGGAGTGGCGATCCCTAGTACGAGCTACAAAGTGTAGTAGCGCCCGACTTATTTATATTTTGCCCAATGAGGGCTCATGCTATGTTTTATGATTTTACTGCCCCTAGACACCTTCGGTTGTGCACATCCGACCAGAGTATATATATGTGAATATGAAATATGATTTCTATAATTTTTCCTATGATGCTCATGAAGACTTTTATGATTCATGCTTATACCCTCTTATGTTTTATGACTTGCAAAAATAACAATTTAGTTTTTACATTGTTGAAAATCCAATTATTATGCCTCATGATATGAAACTCTTCAAGAATGTTGTATTGTTTTAGTTGATACAAAAACTGACTGTTTCCACTAGGATTAGTTAGATTTCCTTTCACTGGGATTTTGGTCTCACCTACTATTTTTTCCCCTTTGCAGATGCTAAGACATTAAGTTAGAACCTCGGTGTTCGTATTATTTATGTTTTGCTCACATTCTAGCACTAGGTGGGCTAGGCTGCGATGATCATTTTGATTATGTTTTTATAGATTGGGATGAGTTATATATATTGAGAGATTGTCTTATATTTAGATAATTGTAAGTAATTTGTGATGTTGAGGTCTTATGAATGAATTACTATTGGTTAAACATATGTGATGATTTTGAGCATGACATGATGTTAGATAATTAATGGAAATGTATTACAGGGTGAATTATGCTTAAATTATGTATTGGATGAGTTGTTGCAAGTTATGTTAGTATTGTGAAGTTGTTGTTGTTTAAGTAGGTACTCAGACAAAAGGGCCCTAAGGCCATCTAGAAAAGGGGTTACAGTAACCGGCATGCTGCCGAGTTTTACTCGGTGGTGTGTTGGTTATTGCCCGGCTGTCATGCCCCTTAAGGTTTGAAAGGTTGGGGTGTGACAATATATATATATATATATATATGGCATTTTGGATATGAAAGACTTAGTTGATGATAAGTTCTGAATCACGAGATTAGAAATATTAATATCTATTATTCTTAGAATGATATATATCTATCTACACACACACACATATATATATATATGACATTCTGGATATTAATGACTTGATGATAAGTTACTGAATAATTAGATTAGAAATTTTAATATCCATTATTCTTAGAATGACTAAATTTGGAAATAACTTTTTGGCATTTAGCAATTATCATGAACACTTGAAAGATGCTTTTCACTTATTTTCACACACACACACACACACACACCACACCAACAAGTAGCTATATTTGAAGAAGTTTTAAGAATAGAAATTTCTTGGGATTTAAATTGATAAAAAGCTTGCAAAATGGGCATTAATTTGAAAGGAAAATAGATTCAATTTCAAATCTTTCTTTGACCCAAGTTGGGATTTTTGAATCTTTGATGATCGACTATAAACTTAAGATTTGGTCATGATTCCTTACTTGGACCAACTGAGA